TTTTATTTTTTGTGGAGAAGGGACCTAGGTCTACTGCCCAGGCTGGTCTCAAACTCCTGGCCTCAAGTGATCCTAAGGAGAAAGCTGAGACAAGGTACTATGTTGGTCCAGGATTATTTGCAAGGTGGGTACCAAAAGAGCTACCCTTTTGTAGGGATGAAAACATCCTAAATGCACCCAGGCATGGTGGCTCACGCCTGTAATCCCAGCAATTTGAGAGGCGGAGGTGGGTGGATCACCTGAGGTGAGGAGTTCGAGAACAGCCTGGCCAACATGGTGAAACCCCGTCTCTACTAAAAATGCAAACATTAGCCAGGTGTGGTAGTGGACACCTGTAATCTCAGCTACTCGGAGGGCTGAGGTAGGAGAACTGCTTAAACCCAGGAGACGGTGGTTGCAATGAGCCAAGATCGCACCACAGCACTCCAGCCTGGGTGACAGAGCGAGACTCTGTCTCCTAAAAAAAAAAGAAAGAAAGAAAAGAAAACATCCTAAATTCGGGTTGTGGGGACCCCAAGAGGCTGAGGCTTCCTAGCCTCCAGGTACTCAGCTGCAGGAAATGGCAGTGATCTGGACTGCTGGAGGCAGAAAAGGGATTGGTTTTCTCAGGAATTAACAGGCTCTTTTACAAGATGCATTAGCTGTTTTTCTGGTTGCTGCGGGACTCATTGCTTTGAGTCTCATCTGCAGTGGCAAAAACAGCAATTAAAAAAAAACCTACTGTAGTGTAGGATAAGCAGTTCGCTTACCGACCCAGCTCTGACCCCAAGACAATGCCAAGGCCTGCTCTGGCATTGTAAGGAGAGGGCTTCAGCCAAGGCCTGGAGGTGACCTGTTCTAGAAGCTTCACCTCAATCAGGCCAGAAACGGATAACTTCTCCTCCCAGATCAGATGAGATTGGCAGTGATATGAGGCAACTATTGAAACAGCCACCAATCACCCCTGGCTGCTGGGATCCCAATTGCCATGACATCAGACATTAATTTGCTGTGCAACAGTGAGCCATCCAGCACCTATCTGGCCATTACCTCTATCACTTGTAAACTGCACTTCCTACTCTCCAAGGTCTCTTCAGGGGCCAAGAAAGTCTTTTGAAGGGGGCTAATCTCTCAGTGGACAAGAGATTGCTTGAGGGTGGGAGGATGGATTTAGTCCCAAGCAGAAATATATATTCTTTTTGTTTTGTTTTGTTTCTTGAGACGGAGTCTTGCTCTGTCACCCAGGCTGGAATCCAATGGTGCAATCTCAGCTCACTGCAACCTCTACCTCCCGGATTCAAGCGATTCTCCTGTCTCAGCCTCTCAAGTAGCTGGGATTGCAGGCACCCACCACCACGCCTGGCTCATTTTTGTATTTTTAGCAGGGGGGTTTCATCATGTTGGCCAAGCTGGTCTTGCACGCCTGACCTCATGTGATCTGCCCCCCTCGGCCTCCCAAAGTGCTGGGATTAGAAGCGTGAGCCACTGTGCTAGGCTGAAATATATCCTTTTTTTTTTTTTTTTTTTTTTAAAAAAAAACTAGGGGTCCCACTCTGTCACCCAGGCTGGAGTACAGTGGTATGATTTCGGCTCACTGCAACTCTGCCTCCCAGGTTCAAGTGATTCTCATGCCTCAGCCTCCACAGTAGCTGGGACTACAGGTGCATGCCACCATGCCCAGCTAATTTTTTTTTTTATTTTTAGTAGAGATGAGCTTTCACCATGTTAAGCAGGCTGCTCTTGAACTCCTGATCTCAAGTGATTCACCGACCACAGCTTCCCAAAGTGCTGGGATTACAGGCATAAGCCACTTCGCCCGACCAGAAAAATATTCTTTGATGTAGATAAACCTTTTCTCAAATTGCTTGTTAAATGTGAGTGAAAGCATCTCTTCTATTTTTATTGACCTACAATAAACACTTGCAGTTAAACTAATCTGCTTGGGCCGGAGGACAACTGCTTTTCCCATCCAGAACCCCTGTAGCTATCACCTCTGTGGGTACTTGGCAAAGCTGGCAGAGAACAACAAAGAACACAGCAAAATAACAATTTATTTTTTTACCTCCAAGGTCACTGTGAACAGTGAGTTTGAGGCTTCCCCTTGCTTTTTTTTTTTTTTTTTTAGACAGACTCGCTCTGTCTTCCAGGCTGGAGTGCAATGGTGTGATCTCAGCTTACTGCAACCTCTGTCTGCCTCCAAGTAGCTGGGATTACAGGCGTGTGTCACAACGCCCAGCTAATTTTTGTATTTTTAGTAGAGATGGGGTTTCTCCATGTTGACCAGGCTGGTCTTGAACTCCTGGCCTCAAATGATCCAGCCACTTCAGCCTCCCAAAGTGCTGGGATTACAGGTATGAGCCACCATGCCCGGCCAAAGCTTTCCCTTCTTTCTCGGGGAGAAAAGGATTAAGCATGGTTCAGCATATTCTCCAGTTCAAGTCTTGGGTCTCAGGCTGTGCCCAGCTTCCTGGAACAAAAGCGCTCACCCCCAGGGCACTCAGAGGCCTACTTTATCTGACTACTAACTAGCAAAACTAAACCAACTATATTTTGCACATGCCAGATGGATGTTCCAAACTGCATCTTTCTTTTTTTTTTTTGAGACGGAGTTTCACTCATGTTACCCAGGCTGGAGTGCAATGGCGCGATCTCAGCTCACCGCAACCTCTGCCTCCTGGGTTCAGGCAATTCTCCTGCCTCAGCCTCCTGAGTAGCTGGGATTACAGGCATGCACCACCATGCCCAGCTAATTTTTTGTATTTTTAGTAGAGACGGGGTTTCACCATGTTGACCAGGATGGTCTCGATCTCTTGACCTCGTGATCCACCCGCCTCGGCCTCCCAAAGTGCTGGGATTACAGGCTTGAGCCACCGCGCCCAGCTAAACTGCATCTTTCAAGATGGATGTGGTGGCTTTTTTTTTTCCTTGAAACAGGGTCTCTGTTGTCCAGGCTGGAGTGCAGTGGCCTGTTTTTTGGGTTCACTGCAGCCTCAACCTCCTGGTCTAAAGCCATCCTCCCTCCTCAACCTCCCAAGTAGCTGAGACTAGAGTAGTGGGACTACAGATTTAGACAGAGTTTGAGAGGGGAAACCACATCAGAACTCTGTGTGTGTGTGTGTGTGTGTGTGTGTGTATTTTTTTTTTTTTTAAGAGATGGGGTTTCACTATGTTGGCCAGGCTGGTCTCCAACTCCTGACCTCATGATCTGCCCACCTCAGCCTCTCAAAATGCTGGGATTACAGGTGTGAGCTACAGTACCTGGCCCAGAACTTTATCCTAGAATGAAAACTTAAATGATACATTAGAGATTACTGAATACAAACCTGCTCATTCTTGATACCATGTCAAAAATGACAGGATTTATGGATTAGAAGCTTCAAAGGGGCCAGGTGTCAGTGGCTCACACCTGTAATCCCAACACTTAGGGAGGCCAAGATGGGCAGATCACGTGAGAGGTCGGGAGTTTGAGACCAGTGTGACCAACGTGGAGAAACCCGGTATCTACTAAAAATACAAAATTAACCAGGCGTGGTGGCACACGCCTGTAATCTCAGCTACTTGGGAGGCTGAGGCAGGAGAATTACTTGAACCTGGGAGGAGGAGGCTGAAGTGAGCCGAGATCATGCCATTGCACTCCAGCCTGGACAACAAAAGCGAAATTCCATCTCAAAAAGAAAAAAGAAAGGCTTCAAAGGATTGTGGGTAAATTTCCAAAAATAATAATAAACGGAGCAGGCAGAGGTAGTAATATTCAACTTGTGAATAAAAACAAACATTAAGGCACACTGGCTCACTCCTGTACTCCCAGCACTTTGGGAGGGAGGCCAAGGTGGGTGGATCACCTGAGGTCAGGAGTTTGAGACCAGCCTGGCCGACACAGTGAAACCCGTCTCAACTAAAAATATAAAAAATTAAAAAAAAAAAAATTAGCCAGGTATGGTAGCAGGCACCTGTAATCCCAGCTACTTGGGAGGCTGAGGGAGGAGAATCGCTTGAACCCTAGAGGCAGAGGTTGCAGTGAGCCGAGATAGTGCCATTGCACTCCAGCCTCAGCAATAAGAACAAAACTGTCTCGAAAAGAAAAAAAATTATTTTCATCTACGTATGTAAGGTCCCTAGAGTAGTCAATTCACCGAGCCAAAGCAGAATGGTGGTTGCCACAGGTGGAGGTGGAGAGGAATGGGGACTTAGTATTTAATGGCTACAGCTGTTCTGCAAGATGCAAAGAGTTCTGGAGATCGATGGTGGTGATAGTTGCACAACAATATGAACGTTCTTAATGCCACTGAACTGTACACTTAGAAATAGTTAAGATGAAGCCGGGCGCGGTGGCTCAAGCCTGTAATCCCAGCACTTTGGGAGGCCGAGGCGGGTGGATCACGAGGTCAGGAGATCAAGACCATCCTGGTCAACATGGTGAAACCCCGTCTCTACTAAAACTACAAAAAATTAGCTGGGCATGGTGGTGCATGCCTGTAATCCCAGCTACTCAGGAGGCTGAGGCAGGAGAATTGCCTGAACCCAGGATGCGGAGGTTGCGGTGAGCCGAGATCGCGCCATTGCACTCCAGCCTGGGTAACAAGAGCGAAACTCTGTCTCAAAAAAAAAAAAGAAATAGTTAAGATGGTAAATGTTATGTGTATTTTGCCAGAATTTTTTAAATTGGAAGGGAAGGGAGAAACAAGAAATCGCTCGACCTGCTAATTTTCATTTGAGGACCAACATGGCACAGTGGCTAGGAACTAAGACCTTGGCGTTCTGAGTTCCTCTGTCTGCTCTGCATTTACTAGCTGGGGCCTTTGAACAAGTCACTTGATATCTTTGAGATTTTATTCATCCTTACAAAGGGGAGTAATAATAGTTCTTTACAAGGTAATAGAATCTCACTAGCACAAGAGTGAGCACTTGCTCAATTGTTCTTATTTTAAATTTTAATAACAAATTTTATTTGATAATTTCTTAAAAATCAGAAATAATTCAGGGATAAGTAGTTGAATTATCAATATCACATTATCACCTAGGGCGATACACACATTAGAAGACTTCGTTTTAAGGGAAAAAGAGATCCAAGTTAGGAGTCAGAAGACTTGGGCTTTAAGAGTGGCTGTGGGTCGTATAAGATTTCTCCTTGGTGACACCCGGGGGTTGACGGAGATGACCTCTTAGATAACCAGAAAGCGAGATCAGCTTCGCTGCTCTGCGAAAGCCAGCCGTGGAGCTGCACCTCCCTCACCGCCTAAGCCTCTCGGGAACCTCCCGGGCGAGGGAAGGGGTCCAAAGGTCGGACACAAGAAGAGTGATTGCAAAGCCCCTTCCTACGCTGGTGGCGGCGGCGTGGTGCAAGATTTGTGCAAGACTCCTCTCCCTCGGATTGGGAGCAAGGGTCCCGCACCTTCATAGCTCCCACGACACAGTCTGCAACTCAGCCCGCTGAGGGAGCTGCAAGGAACCTGCAAACGTCCCAGTCCCTGCAGAGACCCCCAAGAAAAAGCGCCCCCAAAACAGCCTGGGTTGCAGATTTATAAATACCTCCTCCGCACATGCGCATTGGAATTTACGAGTGGCCCAGGGAGCAACTCTGGCCCACTGCGCCTGCGCCTTCCGGCTCTTCCTTCAGGGCACAGGACCAGAGAGTGGGGTCCCATGGTCCCGCAAAGAAGGAAAAACAATGGGTCGGCAGCGGCCACGCGGTACCCGTTTCTCGCTTCTTACCTCGTAGTGCTTCATGGCTCACTCCCACGGCGACTACAGTTCCGCGGGCTGCTGCCTAACTGCGCGCAACACAGCACACAGTCCCTGAAACGCTCGATACTGCTGCGAGAGACTAAACGCAGCTCTGCGTCCGCCCCGCCCCTCCCGGCCGCGCGCGCCCCGCCGGCCAATCAGGGCACGAGGCGACCACCTTCGCCCCTGCCCCTTGGGGCCGGTCCGAACCAGGACCAGGGCTAGCACCAGGGGATTGACCAATCAGCTTGCGAGACCCACCGAAGGGGGCGGAGCGAGTGCGGGAGGGGCTAAAGAGAAGAGGTTTGGCCATCCACCAATCCAAAGGAGGCTTCTGAGCCGCGCGTCCCTTTGCCCCGACCCCTGATGGCGTCGCTGTGGAAACCAAGGTAAGCGACGGTTATGGCCAGGCGGGGGGCGGGGTAAAAAGTTGAGTGACAGGCAAAGCAGTGTCCACATGACAGGCGACGCCGACGGATTAAATTCTGAGGTGGGCGGCCCCCGGGATACACCGGGAAGGGATTGGGGTCGCGGGCTGAGGAGCCTGGATGGCGAGGCCACTCTGGAGGAGACTCTTGAGTGGGAGGGAAAGAAAGGGGAAATGCGATGGCAAAAAGCTCCCCATTTGGGAACCCCCAACCGCAACCTTGAGCCCCAGCCCCACTTTGGTTCGGTTTGGTTTGGAAACAGAGGCTCATTCTGTCCCCCAGGCTGGAGTTCAATTACGGCTCAGCGCAACCTCCCTCTGCCGGGTTCAACCGATTCTCATGCCTTAGCCTCCCGAGTAGCTGGGATTACAGGTGCCTGCCACCACACCTGGCTAATTTTTGTATCTTTTTAGCAAAGACAGGGTTTCGCCATGTTGGCCAGGCTGGTCTTGAACTCCTCACCTCAGGTGATGTTCACACCTCAGCCTCCCAAAGTGCTGGGATTACAGGGGTGAGCCACCGCCCCCAGCCCCCTATCCCACTTGGCTCGGCCCTATATTTGTCTCTGCTTGACGTTGTCCACAATGGTGTCTAGTGGTTCCATGGGGCCACTGAGCCCTTAAAATGGGGCTGGTCCAAATTGAGATGTCTTGTATATGAAAAATACATCAGTTTCTGGCTGGGTTCGGTCTCCAACTCCTGGCCTCAAGTGACTGACCGCTATGGCCTCCTAAAGCGCTGGGATTACAGGAGTGAGCCATCGTGCTGGGGCTTCTTTTTATATTTTGAGTGTGCCTATTAGAACATTTAAAATCACAAACAGAGCTCACATTTGTGGCTGACAGTTGTGCAATTTTTTTTTTTTTTTTTTAATTTTGAACAGTCTTGCTTGTTCTGTCACCCAAGCTGGAGACCAGTGGTGCAATCATAGCTCACTGTTACCCCGGACACCACACTTGAGGAGATCCTAACACTGCTATGTTGCCTAAACTGGCCTCAAACTACTAGACTCAAGCGATTCTCCTGCTTTTACCCCCCGCCCCAAAGAGTTCAGATTACAGGGATGAGCCACCTTGCCCCACCCCCTTACACTATATTTTTTGAGACAGAGTTTGTAGCCCAGGCTGGAGTGCTATGATGGGATCTCGGCTCACCACAACCTCCACCTTCTGGATTCAAGCGATTCTTCTGCCTCAGCCTCCCAAGTAGCTGGGATTACAGGCATGCACCACCACCCCTGGCTGATTTTGTATTTTTAGTAGAGACAGGGTTTCTCCATGTTGGTTAGGCTGGTCTTACTTGAACTCCCGACCTCAGGTAATGTGCCCGCCTCAGCCTCCCAAAGTGCTGGGATTACAGACGTGAGCCACCTCACTGGACCCTCTTACACTATTTTTATTGGACAGTACTGATCTGGGATCATGGCATGCTTTGGCACCCTTGATTCTTATGAGCAAGCTGGGGACATACACACGGGTACTCATGCCTGCAAACACTCAAGACCTCAGACAGGTTGGGTGCAGTGGCTCAAGCCTATTATCCCAGCACTTTGCGAGGCTGAAGCAGGCGGACCACCTGAGGTCAGGAGTTTGAGACCAGCCTGGCCAAGATGGCGAAAACCCATCTCTACTTAAAATACAAACATTAACCTGGCAAGGTGTCGGGTGCCTGTAATCCCAGCTACTCAGGAGGCTGAGGCAGGAGAACTGCTTGAACCTGGGAGGAGGTGGACGTTGCAGTGAGCCAAGATCACGCTACTGCACTCCAGCCTGGGTGACAGAGCAAGACTCTGTCTTGAAAAAAAGAAAAAAAGACTTCAGACAGGCAAAAGAGCAGGCAGTACCTGGCACACTTCTTTACCTCCTTTCCTTACTCCTGTTTCCAGATCCTGCTCCTGAGCCTTCATCAGCTGTTGAACCATCCAGAATTCACGGGCCTGTCATCAGAGACATGATGAGAAGTCCTTAAAGATAGATTGCTGATTCATAGGGGAGCAGGTGGAAGCAAGGGTGAGTCAGTGCTTGGAGCTCGGTCATCCAGATTCGGCTCTGGAAACTTCTAAAACTGTAGCCTTTGGGGATCCCTGACTCCGAGTACAGGAAGCCAAGGCTATGTGGTCTTCAGGACACTCCTTATCTTTTTCACTGGTGCTATCTGGGGAAAACAGGTGAAAACATGAAGGTGTTTTGTATGTATGCCTTCAAAAGCAAGGATCTGGCCAAACTCGGGGGCTCACACCTATAATCCCAGCACTTTGGGAGGCCAAGGCAAGCAGATCACCTGAGGTCAGGAGTTCAATACCAGCCTGACCAACATGGAGAAACCCTGTCTCTACTTAAAAAAAAAAATACAAAAAATGAGCCAGGCGTGGTGGTGAATGTCTGTAATCCCAGCTATTCAGGAGGCTGAGGCAGGAGAATTGCTTGAACCCGGGAGGCAGAGGTTTCGGTGAGCCAGGATTGTGCCATTGCACTCCAGCCTGGGCAACAAGAGTGAAATTCCGTCTCGGGAAAAAAAAAAAAAAAGCTGGCAGAAAGGCAGGATCCATCCTCCAAAGTAGAATTCCTCTTTGTTTTTGAGGGGTGTGGCAGGCTCGAGGAACCCCTTGTTTACCAATCTGGCTTCCAGTACCCAGGCTGTCAGCAGAAATGAAATCCACCCTTGGAATGAATAGTGGCCACTTTGTTCAAGCCACTGAGGACACTGTACCGTGGCCCCCTGACGGTGCCTGTCAGTAGAGACAGTTAGATCTTGCTGGTGTCCTCAGCCCCAGCACAGTGGCTGATTCATAATGGTGACTGGTAGATCTGTTGGGTGCCTGCTGAGCTGACTGTAACTATCTCCTTTATTAATTTCCAAGGGAAAAACTGCAAGAGATGTCCTAAGCTGTGGCAGCTTCCAAGGATGATCTGGGCTTCCTGGGACCTCAAGTTTGAGGGAACCCGAGATCACTTTAATGTCAGAGATCTGATGTGTTTGGTCATGTCTTGTCTCACAAGCTCCTTTTCTATTTCTCATGGGCAGGGCAGGGCAGATCTTGACTTCTCCCAGAACCTGGCTTGGCTGGTTTTGAGGCATGTGTGATTGAGCTGGCTCACCAGTGTGTAAGGGAAGGTGAAGCTGGGATGAGACAAGCCAGGGCTGGTTAGCAAGTTTCTGCTGTGTCAGGAATCCCAGAGAGAGGTTTCCCAAGCCCTAGCCTGTCTTGCCGGGGATGTTTGGTTTTTTTCCTTTTTCTGTTTGTTTGTTTGTAATTGAAGTATCATTGACATGCAGTGAAATTCACCCATTTTAGTGTACAGCTCTGAAAACATACAGTCAGGCAGCCACCACTACAATCAAGATGTAGAACATTTACATCATCCCCTAACATTCTCCAAATTATCCATTTGTTTCAGGTCCCAGCCCCTGGCAACTACTCATCTGCTTTTTGTCCTGATACTTTTGCCTTTTCCAGAAGGTCGAGTAAAATGGAATCATGCAGCCTTTTGAGCCTGGCTTCTTTCACCCACCTAATGCATTTCAGGTTAATCTGTAACGGGTTTTTTTTACGTTTTTTTGTGTCTGTCTGTAGCTCATTCCTTTTTATGGCTGAATAGTATTCCATTGTGTGGATGGATCACATTTGTTCATCCATTCATCTATTGAAGGACAGATTTAACAGCTGTTGCTAATAACTAATAAAGCCTCAGCAAACATTCGCTCATGAAATTTCATAAATGAACAAAAGTTTTCATTTCACCTGTGTATCCCATTAGGAGTGGGATTGCTGGCTTATATGGCTGTAGTGCTTTTGAAGGTCTTTTTCTTTTTTTTTTTTTTTTTTTTTTTTGAGAGGGATTTTTTTTTTTTTCCCCGGGGGGGGGGCAATGGGGGAAATCCGGTCCACGCCACCCC